GTTTACAATTTTGCATCTTCCTTTAAAGAAAATAATTAAAAATTGTTAGGAATACCAGCCTGGGCCAAAATTATGACTACATTTAGTATAATATACGTGTGTGTGTGTGTGTGTGTGTGTGTGTGTGTGTGTGTGTATTAAGGAGATATATATTAAAAATTAAGGATAATACACAGTTGAGAATAGTAAAGTTCTGTATGACAAACAAGAAAATATAATTAGACAACTCCCTCATTTTCTTATTTCAAAGTTGTTAACCTGCCTGTATGTTTACCCAAATTCTCTGCCTTTCATCCTCAATAGAACATGTGTCCATGATCCTACAAGAAGCCCAAACCTCCATCTGTGCTCTGGATTCCATCCTTTGCAAGGTCTGTATTTCTTCTGTATTTCGTTTAATTCCAACATCTGGATTTTCCTGAGGTCTGTTTCTATGTATTGGAGAATTTTTTAAAGAAAAGTGATGTACTCTGAAATTGTTTTTTAAAAGAATTACTCTGATTGCCATGTGGTAAATGGATCTTAAGGGTGCAAAAATCAAAGAATGAGCACCATTTATGAGGACAGTGTTACAGTCAGATGAGGGATGGTGGTGGGTAGGTCTTGCATGGTAGCACTGGCATGAATGAGAGGGTTCTGGCCATCAAGTCTTGTTGATAGATTGGAAAGAACACTTTTATAATTAGTCCACCCAGAATAGGTACCTTTTGTAGTCAGTCGGCCTAGAGGAAGTACCTTTCTCTCAGCACAAATTTTCTCACCTGTAAAACCTTGCAATAGAATGATGTCTGCAAAAATATGATTTTGAGTCTGATCGGTTCCGACAATAGTTTTAAGTGTATCGCTCCAAGTTTGATGAGAAGCCAGAAGACAGACTTTTCAGTAGCTTGAGTACAAATGAGCAACAAAGGCCAAATAATGGCCTCGGCATTGCTGTAATGCAGTGGTTCTGGACGGGGGCAAATTTGCCCCCTGGGGGATTTTTGGCAATGTCTGGAAGCATTTTTGATTATCAAGTCTAGGATAGAGTGGGGTGCTACTGGCATCTAGTGGATAGAAGCCAGGAATGCTGCAAAACATTCTAAAAATACACAACACCCCCCCCCCCCCCCGCCCACCAAGGAAAAGTAGTATCCATTCCAAACGTGTCAACAATGCCAGCTGAGAAAACCTACCATAAAAGTTACTTTATAAGGAGAAACCCCTAGTATCTGAAATTTAATTTTATGTTTAGATTCATGAGTCTATCTTCCTAGAACTTGATAAGGAAATTTTGTTCATAGTGTATGCTTTTCTAATTCCAGTTAATTACAGTGCCTTACAGCGTTCATAAAGCACAGGATTATTTCATTTGAAGGTGATCGCTTTTACTCGCTTAAAAACAAGTCCTGTTTAAATATAAAGCCCTGACTTCTACTCTGTAAACCTCTTTATACTTTGTAATTCCCAGCCCAAGTTCTCCCGGAAATTGGGTAGAGATAAAGGGAGGTCAAGATCTCAAATCCATTGCTAGAGATATTGTGTTCCATGGGACTGAAGAAAACAACATGAAATTCTGAGCCTTGGGTGGTCCTAAGGAAGCATTTTAAACTCTGCTTCTCTTAGACGATCTATCAGCCTGTCCTATCGGTTTTAAGATGACTGCTATCTTCGAGAAGGACAGCATGCCTCTGCACAAGGCCAACAGGTAACGCTTCCCAGCAGCCCTGGGTCCCCCTATGCAACTCTACACTCTCGGAAAACCCCGTTCATTCCAACGTGGGCGGAGCGGGATGGAGGAGGTGCCCCAAAACTCCTCCCGGAGGTGCAGCAGCGCAGCGGCGGCGGTTGGAGGGGGCGGTCCGGCCGGCC